TTTTCAATGTGGTCCAGTACATGAGGATGCTCCTTGGCATGATGATGTGATAAACTCACCAGTTACATTCAATACGAGCGGCACAGAAGCGCCCTTATCGAGCAACAATAGTCGTGGTGTTCAGTTTTGAACTGAATCAAATTATGTCGAATGATGAACTATTTATACAACTCATTTGCATATTATTAATTTCTTATCATGATTACTCTAAATCTTCACCACTATCACCATTGCCACTATCTCGAATCATCTAAATCTCTTCCGTAATGTAATCATCCATCAATTAAATTGATTACTTTCCTATTTCTTAAGATATTAGTACTTTGATGTTATCATTATTATTACATTTTTGATCTCATTCGATCGCTAGGATTCTTTATTTATTTATTCATTTGTTTGTTTGTTTCTTGTTTTTCACTCACTTCTCTTCATATGTCGGCTATTATCTTTCTGGTACTCAGAAAATTCACGAACGCGTGAAACTTAAAGAAATTATGTATAAGCTTATTCTTAGGGAACCTGAATCAATAAGTGATGAAACGAATGTAGCCTTTGAAATTGTTTAAATCTTCGTAATTTATTTCATTTTTGATTCTTTTTCATTAGAAATAATAATTGTTATTCCCATTGCTCTCAGTATAATCATTGCTCTTATTATTATTCTCCATATTATTACAATTATTATACTCAAAGTTGTTCGTGAATCTTGCTCAGTTCAGTCAAAGGTAGTCTTTTAAAGTTTCATTACACTAGCAAAATAAGCTTTTCGCTATTTCGCTACGTTCCACAATGCAGCGATAGCGCGCTACTGCCCATCACTGAATTTTAGAACTGGTGAAACGGATCTTGACTGGAAAAATTCTCGGATTTTGCTTGTAAAGACCAAGTTTCCGATGTTTTGAAGTTCAGTCGACCGAATTCCGAGAAAATAAGTTGATTTTTAATTCGATAATCATCACCGTTAGTTGTCTGATATACTCGCTTATTATACCATATTGAAATAGTAATCACATTGGTTGCCTTCATGTAACATATTTTATTCACTTAATATAACATATCATATACGTTGTGCTATTACTCTAATTTCTTTGAAAAGAGTTTTTTAACAAAATAGCTGATTTCGTAAGGGTTAATTCATGTTACACGGTTTACTCAGTAAGTTCATTAATCCATTAACTTAACTTATTAAGTAATCTTCCATTGTTGCTCAATAATGTTCTCGAACTGACTGTTTGATCACAACGGAGAAGTGATTCACTCGTTTGATAGCATTAATGAATTGTTAACAGCAAACTTGATCATCGACTCAAACTTAGAGTTCTTTCCAATGTACGGCTTACTAGTGTTGTGCGAGGAGAGAAAAAAAGTCGGGGACGGGAGAGTCGGAAACATTTCGGGGGCGGGGAGAGTCCCCGAAAATAGCTGCCGCTCGAAAATGGTCCAGGACGGGGACGGGAACCCCGAATTCGCGGACTCCCCGCAGAACACTACCGCTTACGACTAATATCTAGACGAATGATAGATTGTATGGCCATTCAGAGAATTGTAGAAGGGTAGGCAGTCTGCCATACGGTCAAAGAGGGACACGGGGTGTGAGAACCATTGTTTCAAAGTTTGACAGAAGTTGAAGATTGCTTTTCAAGTGCATGCGGCTTAAATTGCACTTTCGTTAGCTCATTTCGAGAGTTTCAAACTATTTTATAACGGATATTCCTTATTGTAATATCATCGATAAAACTCCATAACAAACCGATTGTTCCCGGTGCAGTGTAGCAAATAACTCATTTATTTCATTTCACTGTTAGGAACTTTAAAAAAATCAATCGTATTAAAAATTTGATTATTGATGAATATCAATTAAAACAGACCCATAGATACAGTCCTACTAGCAATACCTATTCAAACTGTAGTCATTTACAGCAATCATATTAATGGTGAAATCAGTATGAATAATGCGATGAATGAAAGCACGCAATCTGCGCTATAAAAATCGACGTGTATAAAAATGAAATATAAAAACTGATGAAGTGCGATTATGATATTGATAATAGTAACAATATAATAATAATAATAACTGTAATAATAATGAATTAATGAAGTTCCAAAGATCTACAAACATGTGTACGCGATTCGACCGATTAAGATGCAAAGATAGCCCGGATGGACATTGAACTAATTATTCCACTGATGTTCATCACAATGATAGACCTCATTGTGATGATCCTACTAATAATAACAATACTCGAAGTAATAATAATGACAAACATATAACTACGTTACAAATGTCGCCAGCAACGTGTGAGCAACGCCTAACATAAATGAATGACAAATAATATCTCATAATAGTCTTGAAGTATCATTCATTACAAAAATGAATCAAAACTCATAGCTGAATCATTTTCATTTGCAAATAATTGAAAATTATCAATCGTCTGCATTCATTGATGAACATAAAATGTGCAACCTATAGAAATATCATTAAAAATAAAACAACGGTTTTTTAAAAATGAGACAGAAATGGTAAACTACACTTCTGGGCGCATTCAGAAGGAGCAGTTCGGTGTAGATGAACACCTAAAATCAGTCAGTTCCCTTTCTATACTCAATGCTAATTGAAACGACAATTTTGAAATGTTATAATAATGTCGCTGCAGAATGACACCATCACAAAAGATCAACACTCTTTCGATGATATTTGTTCCTTGAAAGCAAAAAAATATTCTCTGACCATTTAAAAATTGGGATGAAAGAGAGCTGATTGATTACGCGCAAATTTGGTCAACATCGCGCATAATCATCACCGATGTCACTCAAAATAACGATGACCGCCGCATATCCAAAACAATTGGCAGTAATTCGCTTACATCACGAACCTGAAACGTTAATAACAATAGTAATGCTATAATAATAACAATAGTAATGGCATAATAACAATTTTAAATTGTGTAAAGTAACAAAAGCATACAACATGGTCGGCATGTGGTCTCAACTCATCATTTCCACAAATACCCGATAAAACGCCCACTGTGCCTCCTAAATTTGCCGATCGTCCCATACCCATATCAGCTAGGGTATCACCAACCACAATTGTTTCCTGAATACAATAATTACTTTAGATCCAACACAACAACAACAACAACAACACATAAAATGAACGTTAGAAGCGAGATGAAATTCCTTCTCACTATAAACGTAATCTAATCAAAATATTCATGGAATGAATTGTTGCCTGCCTAAAACATTCATCAAACGAAACCGATTCAAAAAGTGGTCAGAGTAATGCTTCTAACGAACGGCAGCATCGAGTATAAATGAATGTGGGGACTTATTTACTTCGGTGGGTGGAGGGGGAGAGGGGGGTCGCACGTTCGCGTACAACAACCCGCACATATAAAATAAATAACTGAAACCTGAGGATCAACATCCAACGAACGACAGATTGAAAGTGCATTATGGGGATGTGGTTTGGGCCTTGCACCAGCATCATCTCCGCAAACCACTACATCAACGAAGTCATCAACTCCTAATGTTTGCAGCGTCTTCATCGTCCCTCGACTACAATTTTCATCATTCACGAAGGCAATGATAGTAATAATAACAACGATGACAACAGTAAACGAGTGAATAAATAAACAAATAAAACTCACCGGCTATCCGATGTGCAAACAGCAATTTTGACGCCATTCTCGCGAAGCTGTTCAAACAAAAATTTCAAATTCGTCAACTGCTTTACAGTTGGCTGTGAGTTCATCTCGGCATCCATTATCGCTCTTTTGATGTACTGCAATTATTAGTAAAATTATTGTCGTTGACAAACACCATTGATCGCTTAATGATAACAATAATAATAACAATTTATCGTAAACAATTAATGTATAGCAAAATATTACTTATTATCATTCTCATCATCATTACTATTATCAATAACATACGCCAAGTGCGTCATTCGCTTGAATACCATGACTGATAAGCAAACGTGCGATTGCATCTCGGATCTGCGCCAAAGTCCCTTCGGCCAACAGACCGGATCGAACACGTTTCTCCATTGCGCAAAATCCTAACACTTTGTAAATTTCGTCGGAAATCCTTAGTTTCGTATTTGCAACTAATCTGAAAGAAACAAATATATCAACTCCACATCACTTGTTTGTTCAATAACGTTCCTATTCTTCAACGTGAGAAGCACAATTTAATAACGTTAATTTTTCGTTTTGACCAAAAAAATATTCCGGCAGACGAAGTAATTAGCTAACGATTTAGCGATATTCACGGCCCATGGCACCCACATCGAGTTGAAGCAAATCAGAGTGCCATCCTTGTCGAATATCACCAAACTGGCTTTATTCTGAAAAGAAATTATGCTCGATGGTTGATCAATCAATTCAATTTTGAATAACTGACAGTAATACTGTACGATTCATGCTTTCATGATGCAAAGAAAACATTCCGAAACGAGCAAAAATGGTGCCTCATTAAATGCACTACCTACATTTCGGATCGATTTTATTGGTGATACCAACTGAGGCATAACATGAGTGCTTGCAGCGTACTGTTTGCCTTGGGCTGTGCGTGAAATCGCCCTTCGCTGAATTATATCCACCGGTGTCGGGCGACCATAATCATCTAGATTTGTCGGGAATTAAGACCGGATTTCATGATACAAATCGATGGTCTCTGTTGAACCCATGCAATTCTTGAAGGTCTCCGGCACAACGGAGAATGCAGTTATATTATGTGTACTAATCGTACTCATTTGACTGGGAACACAGAAATCGCTTGTTCGACAAACGAATAGCATATAAATCGCTCACTTAACTTGGTTTTTCATATATGGGGCAAGTCAGTAAATGAATAGATTAAACAAATATCCGAATGTATATGCGATTGAACAAAAACAGAAACGAGCGATGATAATAAGGATAGATGCAAAAAATCTTACATGCAATGCTGAGAAGAGATGACGAATTGCGGATTAACGTACGTACACTACGTGCGTTCATGATTCCAATTAATTATGCTTCTTCGAACACAATTTTCAAAATAAAAAAAACTTCTGCTTTCAATTTGATCACTAATCAGCCTTTTTTAATGGAGTTTCTTTGGGGATATATCGTATTTTTCGATGATGATAAAAACTGATAATTCCGAATGCAATGTCAGCCAAGTGGTCGAATGAGTTGCTCAGCTGAGTTACGTTGGCTTGAAAAGATTGATTGAAGACAAGTTGGAGCCAAGTTGAGAAGTTCAGCCGAGTTTATCGGATGGTGGTTGGGCACACAAGACTCTGCAATAAACGTTCATTCATCAAATGACACCATTTTGAATGGATGTGCTAAATATGAAACACCAACAAATCTCAACTGTTATAATATCGATCATACTATGCGCTATCATATGAATGCACTCATAAAACATACAATCACAGTGATAAGAATGAGAGCATATATATGAAAAGATTCACTGATAATGAGTGTTTGCATTTATTTCTTCAACAAAAAATAAATGAACAAAGCGTGAATAAATAAATAGTTAAATGTATTGTTCTATGTATTCATATATGCATATGGTTCAATAGCAATACAAATGTTCACAAAACACGTAAATACACTTATGCACACGTCTGTTCGTTACTGACGAGAACAGTTGGAAATAAGATTGGAAAAATTCGTATGAAAATGCAAGTGCAGTTTTGGGTGATTCAATGATAATGTGAAAACAAGGGATTGAATGCATGAATGAAAGTAAAAAGAAGAAAAGATGAGGGTGAATGATGAAAAGGTCGTAAAAGGACAACGTAACAAACGGATGGGCTAGACTAGAACTGGTCCAGAATTTGGTCTCGAATTGATCCACAAAATAGAAGGCAACCGAGGATTTACTACTGAGGAGAGAACGTATCAGAAATGAGATAAACAAAATCGTGGATGAGAGATGGGAGATAAGGATATGCTTAGGAGAAAACGAGTGAACGATTGATTTTGAAGGACAGACGATAGTAGGAAGCGGCGAGAGATTCGAGAATTCCGACAATATTAACACTGAAGCAATACGAATTCTCGCACAAGCAGATATACATTGTGGCCGCATGCCGATAGCTAAGCAGGCTAGCTCACTTTGCAATTTGCGAATAAGCCTCATCAACTTGATTTACACACATCCATAACTTCAGTTGGCAATTTTAGCGAAGCAATTCCTAAACGAAACTGGCTAACCATCACCACTACGACCGCTGACTTTCACCAATCATAGTGAATCGAATGACGATGAACAGCAGTGCTTTGAATGATGGACGATGTCGTCAACAAAGAGATAAGAGATGAAACTGAATCGGCGAAATAAAAAAATCCATTCGTTGATGAATTCAAAAATTTCATTGACAGAACAGATGCTAGCGTGGTTACATACATATCGTATTTGTTTAGAGAGCATCCATATCTGAGAGAGTGAAATAATTCATTGCTTTCCTTCCTCATCTTCTCTATTCCTATTGTAAATGCATATATCTCATTTTCACACCGATTAATACATAATGTCATCTTGTTACTAGTGAATGAGTGATAGAGGCAAGAACACAACATAAGAAGATAACATGTCTAGAGAGAAAGATTGATAAGGGATGAAAGGAATTTCCTTGACTTCATCGCTCTTTATTCATCATTTGGGATACCCCCAAACACAAACAAATCGTTAGATAGATAGAGATAATCATTGCAGCGACGAAGTTCTGGCATATGGTCGTCGGCAACCTTTAGTGCTCATTTTCTTCTTCTTATGAGCAAACAACAAGTAGACAGAGAAAATAACAACTATTAATCGAAAACAAACGAAACTGATTCATCAAATGATTAAAAAATTTTAAAACGTTGAAAAGTGTGATCATCATCGTCATCATCATCATCATCAAATGATTTTGCTGCTTCCTTTTTGTTTTAAGAATTGATAAAGCATTAGGAGCACATTTGGCTTTCTTCATTGAGAAACGTATTTCTTACAATCATATTTCTTATTTGGTCTTTCTTGTCTACTTTGTTCATTCGTTAATCTCACACAATTGTGACGTATTCAGCATGACGTCTTATTTGACCGTCCCGTTGCCCAGGACATGTGCCCCAGACAATTGCATCCCTTTCCCCCCGTTAGCTGCTTCTTTAAAGTTATGCGGCCCACTGCCTGAAGGCAATTATCAGGGGAGCAATTGCGCGAAAGACAGTTTTCCTGGAAGCGAATGTGCCACCAAGCGACATTCCTAATAATCGTTTTTGATGAAAATATTCACGATGAATAATGATAATGATGCTGATAAAAGCAAAATATGCACAGGAAATCTGAATATGTTTTTATCAAAAAAACAGCGATAACGACACTAATAGTACAATGAACAACGACTCTCATAAAAACCGAAGTATGTAAAAGAACAATTTAAAACAACGAAAAACAGCTAATAGTTGCAAGCGATATCCTTCGACTGCAATCTATCTCATAAGAAGAACAACGAAAAAATCTGATATGTTTGCATATAGAATGAGTCTATACGTTACTTATACATACCACCTTCTGGTATTCAAGTCATTTTCCAATTTTATTTGTGAAAAAGATTTTCCTTGGCAAAAAATTTCTTCAATTATTCATTTCGTTTCTCCTTTTCTCTCTCTTTCTCTATTCTTTCCTCTTCCTCATTATTATTACTATTACAATTATTATTACTTTTATTATTATTATTATTACTATTATAATTATTATTACTTTTATTATTATTATTATTATTGTTATTATTATTGTTATTACTATTATTATTATTATTATTATTGTTGTTATTATTATTGTTATCATTATTGTTATTATTGTTGTTATCATTACTAACGGTAATTATTATCATCAATTTCTCATCCATGTTCCATTTTGTCATTCACTCGTAAAAATTATATCAGCTTATCTATCAATCATTTGATCAATCGTGATCGTCATTGTCAGTCAAAACTTCCGTCCTATCAAGCAACTCATCTATCAGTCATCAAGTAAATAATCAATCTTATCTTCGTCTCATCAATCGGGAAATAATATTCGCCTGAGTACCTAGATCAAACAACTTGTTGCTAATTAGTGATAAAAAGGTGAAGTGAGAAAGAGTGAATAAATCTGATTAAAATATTTATGTGCAAACAAAATGATTATGAGTGTGAAAATATAAGAAAGTATCTAACAAATGGTAAATTCTACCTAACTGACAAATGGTAAAATAAATAATAGTGAATCGAGAAGGAAAACTAATGATACAGTCAAATAAGTTCAAAATTGCAGCACAGCAAGGAAGCGTCAAACATTGAACATGTATTGGTGGTGGATGGATGATATTTGCAAAGCTGATAGGTACGAGAATCCAAGTATGGTCAGATGATAGCCGTGCATTTCTTCCTCGAATGCGTACCTTTAGTTTCTCGCCAACATAAATCACGAAACTAAGCCCAACTTCGTGAACATCTGTATGAATGTACTGTTTGAAACTACAGACCACACAATTTTTCAACTGAAGAAGGAAGAAAAATTGATGTTGGTTTTCTTTGCTGCACAAATCAATGATTCCTTGCATCAATGATTCAACTAACCGACTGCCTAGGGAACTCCAGAGGAATGATGCTCCAAGTGAATTATATTCAACTCAGTTTCCTTGTATGATACTTTTATGTTATGATTTTAGTGCATAAAACAAAGCAATAACGGTAAGGTTGAAAAAGAGTGTAAAAGCGCAAGAATTTCAATGTGAAACGAAGAATCGAAACGGGCAACACCCTCTGGTCCCTCTACCCTTACAGCAGCAGTACACACCCATATAAACTGCAGCCCTTCGAAAGCTCTACCCTAACCATGAGTCCAAGCGTAAACATGAGAATAAGCCTGAGCTTAAAGCCAACCATGAATCAAGCAGTTTAGGCTAAAACGCTTCTTTCTTTATTTGTACCAGCCATGACGTGCTGCACAGATTAACGTCAAAATGGAATGGATTCAATTTAAATGATCTTCGAAAGAAACCGCAATAACGACAATATTATTCGCCCGCAATATGTTTTCTCGAATACGTATTTATTTATATATATAACCGTCAGTCATATACCATATTATAAAGCAATAAGTGTGATAAAAACAAGGGAATACTTCGCTTGGTGTGTGTAATTTATCATTGAAGATACTTGTTTTTATGATGCCATAATGGAAATGATAACTTCCGATAGGCTGAAAACTAACGATCTTTGTACCTTGGTGTTGTTATTGATGATGTTGCTGCTTGTCCGAAGTTCTTTCCTACAACTGATCTGTTCTGATAATGTAATGGGCAGTGAACGGCAAGATATTACTAATCACTATGAGAAATGTGAAAACGGAACATTAATCAAAATTCGCTTGCTGTTTCCTTCTGCATAAACGATGAAACAACGTCTGGATGCCCAGCTCTATTCAATGAAAAATAAAACTTGGCAGTTGCACAAAATATTAACTGGATGATTTTTTGTTGTAAATTCGAAATGAATCTATAGAATTTGAAGGCAACACTGAATTAACCTCATAATATGTAATCGCTTAGAGATGAAATTTTGTCGGTAGATACTACTAGATCTGAGGTTACTGAATCTTACTATCATTCACATCAATTCTATTTGTATGCGCATTTACCACTGGCTGAGAACGACGGTAGATGGCAAATCAGTTCGAGTGAAGAAAACGAATTTAAGCGAAAATCGGAGAATCATTCCTTTTAAAATTGTCCTTTCCATCAAGTTAATATTTATCCATCGTTTTTTATTCAATTGTTTTTCAACGAGCGAAGAACTAAAAAAACACAATCAAGAACTTATGATAATAATACAGCTGTCGAATAAACACTCGAATAGAGTATAACTGATTCGAATTTTATCATTATTATTGTTTTTATTATCATTTTATGATATATTATTGCAGGTGAAGTAAAAAAAAGAATCAATGAATCAAAGCGGAGCGAAAGCATTCG